TTTCTTCGTTTTCGGTTTGTTTTCAGTTGTCGTAATAATTCACATCTGTTTCAGATAGCTGATTATATTGTGGGAGGCACCAGACTCTAAGATAAATATTACAAGTTGCCAGTTCAGAGATAAAAGGGTTAGCATAGGTCAGGTTGAAGAAATCGTTTTATTTCTAAAAAATACAGGAAAAATAGTACTAACTCTTTTGAAAATCTTAGCTGAAACAACACTACAAATTATTCCATTAGTTGTGAAATAGAACAACAAATTTCCATTTAATCCCAGACAGAATTTACTATTTGTTTACACAACTTGAAGTATGTAGATGGTGTAATAAAAAACTTCCGCACACTCCACTTTCGTCGGGCGAACAGGAGAAATGTACTTGAAGTTTTATTTTATATGGCTGGGTGGGGAAAACCGTCGATGGAATAATATTTTATGGTCGTTTAGTGAGACGCCAGAACCTTGGAGACTCCTATTCCAGCCAATCAAGTGAATATTAATAATAGCCATTAAGTCAGGCATTGAACTTGATACGAATTTGGCTGATAACTCACCTAACTCAACTACTCGCATTCACTTCCTTCAGACCAGAGTCCAATTTTGACTTGCATTTGGGGGCGTTCTTATCGCCTTTTGTGTATTTTTATATATTCTTTGTTCGATTGCTATCGGTGGTTCATCAAACGGTTTCATCAATTTCGTTCACCTGGCCGCATAATTGATTGTTTTGCACTCGGATTAATATACATATGGGCGAGGCATGGATAGAGGAACCCACTTTATTGACACAACTGATTAATGGCCATATGCCGAGCAGCTGGCGGGTATCTATCAAGTATTTCCGATGTCCGATAACACGGCGTTAACCCAAACAAATTAAACAATAATCAATGGGCTTTAATTTTTGCTTTTCGAGTGGCGCAAACTACGACATCGAAATGAATAACAACCAAATACAGATATACTGCGTCCGCTAATCATTTCTAATCAGCGGAGGTCTTTAACACCTTGGCAACACAACTCCCACCTGGGATTTGCCTATGCTGGATTGTGATGGCAATGACGATGATGACGATGATGAGCTTGCCCACCGACTTCCTGTGAGTGAAAGATTTTCTTTTTGGCCTCCTACGAGCCACCAAGTGTTGCTGGTGGGCGTCGCTGCACTGGAGATTCGAGACTCGAGGTTCGAGATGCTAATGAGCATGACTAGACTTCTGCTGACGAAGGCGAAGACGATGAATGGATGGCTCAGAGCAGTCTGACTTGGCTCATTTGGTAGGTGTTGTGGGCATTGTTATTGCCGTTGAAAGCCATGTCGCTGGGCGTTGCATGACTCTAGATGCCAGGTTTTGGAGAACGTTAGGGATGGATAATAACTAGGAAATAATGCCTTTTATATAAGCTTTGAATTAAAAAGTATTACTACCAGTATTAAAAAAAAAAAAAAAAAAAGAATTTGTATGTCACTGCTTGCTTTACAAAGAGTTAATCAATACTGAAGCCTAGGTGAGTTAAAGTTAATCAACACATAATTCTAGAGTCTCAATAGATATCAATACATTTATTAAACTTCAAATACTTTTTTAAGTATTAACTGTTCAATCCTAGAATATGGTTAAACAATTTTGTACTTTTATTATTACTTACAAGCCTTATTAGCCATTAATCAATAACAACTTTTCAACACTAGATTAAGATACAATTTTTGGATCTTGACTCAAACCAGAAGAGACATTTAAAAGAATGCTTTGTCTTATTACATTAGAAAGTTTTAAATTATAAAGTTGTTCGTTAATCCGTGTACATTGTAAATATGGAAAGTATTATATTTCTGGAATATTTTTCCATTTTCCAGCCCTGCTGCACACCTACTTTTCTATTTCCCTACTTGTTCAGCTACCAAGATCTGCCCAAGCTGTCTTCCATCTTCCATCCAACTCCTCCTCCCCGAATGTTGTGGGCAGCCAGATGAGTGGGGTTATCTGGTGGTCCGTGGACGGATGGATCGTGATCATGTTCATAGCGATCACGGTGATGATGACTATATAAATGCTTCCTCAAATTGTGGGGGCTTGCGGGCCGAACTCGAACTCGAATCAGCGACAAGTTCTTCTCTCTCCCTCGAAAAGCATGACGTAGGCAGGTTTCTAGATTCGTTTGAAAAGCGTAGATCAGCAGCCCGCGGGGATGGGTAGAATCCAAGACCGGCAGCCGAGATTTAAAGAATTGATGTGGCTACTGTTTTTTCGAGGCCCCTTGAAGTTGCAGCTGCGCAGAGCGAAAAGAACCTTGAAAAATATATTTTTTGGAGTCTCCCGCGCGACGGATGTTGCGAATTTTCGTCTTTGACACATATAAATGTGTATATATATATTTTATGCGCCATATATATGGGGTAATTCTCTCTACGGTCAACTAATTTAGTGTTTCCTGCTGACAACAGCATAAACAAGCTGCAAAGAAATCAGAGAATTGTGTCACTAAAATGTTTGCGCTGCCCAAAAATGAAAAAAAAAAAATGATATCAGACAATCTATTTGTTTGTCTCTCTTGTTGTCGCTCTCTATCAAATATTTCACAAAAAGCCAAATTGTTTTGAATCTCGTTTTGTGAGCTTTCGATTTGTTGTTTTCGTTCATTCATACAGGCAGCGCTTTTTTCGAAAATAGACGACATCCGGTCTGCACGAAATATATAAATCATATTTTTAGATAAATGCCGATGCACACACACACACTCGGGCAAACGATCTGCCAGCCAGAAAAAGTTGTAAAAAAAATATACAAAATCGAACCGAAAAAAAAGCAGAATGTAAAATGTTGTTTTCGTAGTCAACTTGTTTGGGTTTTTCGCCGACACGAGACGGCCGCGTCGTCATCGAATAAAGAATTTGTTTTATTTGGCATCAAAACCGAAAATAAATCCCAATTTTGTTGAACTATTTTTGGCTGTACTAAATTGTAGTCAAAGCGGATTAATTCAAGAAAGTGGGACGAATCCTTAAATATTGCCTTCTATTTTTCAATAATTAAAGAATATTTAATAAAACTGTTTTTTCAGTAACATAATATTTCAAAATCTCAAAAGGAAATCTTCAGAAACAACAAATTTTAAGTTTATAAGCATTTTTTGACCTTTATTAATACAATAATAAAAAATGTATAGATCAATTTATTGCTAAATACGGGAGTAATTTGTAATACATTTAACGTCTCTCTGGAATTTTTGGAGAGTAAACATCCATTATAAATATTTGTGTTTAACGCTCTTTCCTTTTTTAATAGATAATTATTTTTCAAAAGTCATTAAAAGTAAAATATATCTTGCTTATTTGAGTAATAAAATTCGCTCATAAGAATCCGTATTTCTTTACCGATTTATCTCCTTTCAAGTCGCTTTTTTTTGCCACTTGCATCAACAGGGCCATAAATTTCTCCTCTCATCATTTCGTACGATTTTGGTATGGGCCGGGTTGTTTTCCCCCATTCCCCCCGCGCCATATACCATATCTATCTGTATATCATAAATATTCCCCACTGGGATGATTTCGTTGCTCTCATAAAAGACGAAAATCGCCGGCTAGCACCGCAGAAGCGCAATGTTGAAAGAAAAAATTGTGTGGAAATGGAAATAAATTAACACATTTAATGAAAATTTTCGAAGAGAGCGCGAAAACGCGAAGACGCCGCCGCAGCGGAAGACGTGGAACGGGGCGTATGAGTAATCAACGACAGGAAATGGTGACAAATGCTGCTACACCCCCACCTCTTTCCCCTCCCCCCTTTCTAGAGGGTGTGTAAATGTGCTATGTAGCTATTTGCACCGATAGCAACAGGCCAACAAAAAGGAAAAAAAAAAAAGATTTTCAATAATTTATTTGGTTTGAATGAAATACGAACGAGGGCAGCGACGTCGACCGCCATTGGGGCGCCCACAGGAAACGCGACGTTGGCAACAGTTTCCTGTTTTGTTTTTGTCGAGTGCAAACGGGTTACGACAACAAACATGTTACAATTTGGTTCAATGACTTTGTTAGGCCATCGAGATAGGCACTCGCTGCACGACGAGAAAACTGCTGGTTCTTGAAAGAATTTAGAACTAATTTACATTACTTACATTTCAATTAATATTCTAATTAAATTTCTTTGGATTGTATTATAGCGTTTACTGGTTTTAAATATAGTAGCTAGAGATACCCATTTCTTGCTCAAATCAAAGTGTTTTGTATCATAAAATAAAAATTATTTTAATAAATTTAACTTAATGAAAAAAAATTAAATTCTCGTTTAAAAATCAACATTTTAAATACAAATATATTTGAAAACTTTCTGATTTAAAATCATATTTGCCTTATTAAATGACAATTTTCCGACTTAATTATTTATGAAATAACTATTTTAAAAATATACATGCTGCTTTTAAACGAAATTGTATAATTGGTGATAAATTACTTTTTAAGTCATTTAATTTTGCGTATTGCTCTCAAGTTAGTGTCTTATATAATATATTTTATTAATTTTTTTTAACAGTGAGTTGTTAGAGTTCGGTCTTAAATGTTATCTAGTAAGCCCCTCGGCACTCCACAAAAAGCATAAAAAACACAGACAACTATCCACCCACAAGTTTATCAGTGGAATTGAGGAAGTGGTCACCGCACATGAAACTCGCGCCAGATGCGCTGATAAGCAAACCCACCCACCCACCCATCCACCCACCCATTTCCCCACCCACTCGGCCTATTCTACTTTTTTTGGCAAACCTTTTATTTAGCATTTAACGTGGAGTTATTTTACGGCTCTGGCATATTAAATGAGCTGGCGAAACTTATCAGCAATTCAGTCGATGACATGCGGAAGTCCCCAGCCCATAAAAATCCCCTTTGGCCAACTGATTTTTTCTAGTTTGCAGCGATATTACACATACGCCCCTTAAGCCACGAGTGCAAAACACTTTCACAATTTCTCTGACCACTTATTCTCTGTTTCTTTGTGTGATTGCAGTTTGTGGACATTGGAATCGTGACTTCCATCGAATCGAATCACAAGCAAATCGAATCGGCGCGCAAGGGCCAAGAGATTTGCATTAAGATCGACCCGATTCCCGGTGAATCACCCAAGATGTTTGGTCGCCACTTCGAGGCCGAGGACATGCTGATCAGCAAGGTAAGTTGAAGTCGATATACCGATTTTTTTAAGGGGCCTCCCACTTCAGACTCCTTAGCAATAACCAATAGACTGGCCATAAATTCACAAGTGTTCGGGAGCGGAAGAATCAACTTGGAACTCAAGATAGACTCGAGTGCATTATGGTCGGGAAGTTAGGAACCGCCATATCATTGTTTTGTGGGGCATGTGGCAGATGTTTATAGGCGGATTAGATATCTGGAGTGGCGCTATTGTAACCTCATTCTTTTAATTACTGCGCTTTGGCTTTTGCAAACAATGGGTAATTACTTTTTAATTGCCTAGGGGTTTTTTTTTTTTTTTTTTGATTTTTTGGTTATAATGGAAGTTTTTAAACAAGTATAAATTATTATTGAAAGTATTTTCAAAACATAGCATAATTAAGCCAAATTTAAAAGTACTTAGAACTACATTTTTAAATTATTCCTGTCATTCTAATTAAATGTTTTTTAAGTACAAGTTTAAATTTAAAGCAATTCATTGTCCCAATTATAAGAACAAGTAATACTACATATACCATATACACATACCAATAATTCTCAAGTAACCACACTCTCCAAATTAATTAAGGTGTTTGAAATTAGGTTGTTAGAATAATATTGCATTGAGCCAATTAATTTGGAACTCCTCGTATCAATTTACTTTGGTTGCGGAAAAGCCAGTCTGCTATTGAGTACAAATTCGAGTGCAAATCACTTAAGTTGAACAGCAATTGTCAATTGCACCTGGAAGGGTGAATGGGTGGATGGGTGGAATCACTGGCCAGGTGCAAAGGCACTCCACCTCCGAAATATCAATTCACCTTGGGCACTTCCACCTCGGCCAGTTGGCTTATCAAATTACATGGCCAAGTTGTGTGTTAAGTGTTAAGTGGCTACAATATCGAATCGAATCGAATGGAACGCCATTCCATGGGATGACTTAACTTGCTTAAGTGGCGTTGAAAGGTCTTTGCAACTTCCTTTCGTTCAATCATTTGATTAACAATTACTTACCAGCTCTGACGTCAAGCGCCCTTGATGAGTGGGCGCACGGGGGGTGGGTAGTGGGTGGTGAAAAGCGATGGGAGGTGGCTGGCTGAAAACCAAAATCGATAGCTAACTTAATTTTCGATTCATTTTTGTCCCTTATCAGCGGGTGACATCGGTGACGTCAAAACGCCAGGCATCGCTAATTGCCCATTCAGTTGGCAGAGCGCTTTATTCAATTAATGCGGCGTAAAAATAAAGATGAATTGATGTATTTTTAGGCCTCCAAATTGGATGATAAAGTTTTGCACTGCCCGAAAACGGTGTTGATTATCAGCTGCAGCTTTAAAAATGCACAATTAATTTATTTATTATTAATCTAAAGTTAAAACTAAAAGCTAGCGTTTCGATAGAGCCAAATACACAGTTAACATTTCTACTTTTTATGAATATTATTAATAAGGAAATACTAAACCTGTTTGTGGTATCTTTCAAATAGTCAATCTAATTATTGATGGGCAATGGAAATGATTAAAATTTGTAATGTATGGTTTCTAGTTCAATCTGATTAGTTTGTTATTAGATTATTATTTTATCCTTAACCTTTTGAGCTTTTCGCAGTGCAGCCTCCATCAAAAGACATTAAATTGGATGCCACTATCCAAGTGACACACTCCCTGTCTATTTATAATATATGTATTCTTAGGCCTTCAAATTGGATGATAAAGTTTGCACTGCCCAAAAATTGTTTTCCTTCTAAGCTGCAGCTTTAAAAACTTTTGAATCCAATGATTTAAGAATATGCAAACAGTTTCTACTTTTAAGATCATTATTCCAATCAAATTTTGATGTGATTAATTATTAATGGGCAATAATATTGATTTAAAAAATTAATCTAGTTCAATCTGATTAACTTGTTATTGGATTATTATTTCATCGATAACCTTTTGGGGTTTTCGCAGTGCAGCCTCCATCAAAAGATATTAATAATATATGTATTATATAATATATGTATTCTTAGGCCTCCAAATTGGATGATATAGTTTGCATTGTCCAAAAACTTATTCACCTTTAACAATTCTTAAAACTAATGATTTAAGCTTATGCAAACAGTTTCTACTTTCAAGATCGTTATTCCAATCAACTTTTGTTGCAACTCCTTTCATATTAATTCTGGATGGCCAATAATATTGATTAAAAAATGTAATCTAGAACGATTATCATCGGGTGCCCTGACTATTCAGTAAAACTTATGATTAAAGGCAAGTGCAAAGGAGATGGTAGATAGAAACAATATTGATTAAAAAATGCAACTTATGGTATCTAGTTCAATCTGATTATCTTGATATTAAAATTTCTTCGCTAACCTTTCGATAGGTATTGATAAAGCACCATCAAAAGCACATGTTGGGTTCCACCACCCCAGAAATATCCTTAAATTTATAGAACCCAATCGTATATAAGCTGATTGCCTGGGCGTTAAAGGGGATTATGTCGTGGCTGACCTTTTGAAACAAACTTATGCATGCGGGGTCGTTTGGGGGTGGCCCTGCCTCCATAAACCTACATACACACATTCCAATCTAATCTAGCTTTGTATTTGTTTCCGAGATCTCAGGCTGACGTTCATTTTACGGTCCACGGACAGACATGACTTGGACAGATCATTGACCTCTGCCCCGAGCATCGTCAGCACGGACTAACCCAGATCCTCGGATCGACCAGATTGTGTGCCGTGATTTTCAGACGGGTCATTTTGGCCTTTTTCGACTTTTATTAGTGATCCTGATGCAGAGAATATATATTTTGGTCAAAGGGTGAACGGAGAACGAGACATCCTCCTAGCATAAAAGTATACATACTTTTTGATCAGGATCACCAGATATACCCTTTTACTCTATCCGACGTAACGGCTGTAAAAATGTAAGTCTAGTCCGTCAATCTGATTATCATTTGGACCTTTAACAATTCTTAAAACTTATGATTAAGGCATATGCAAAAAGTTCCTACTTCCAATCAATATTGATTAAAAAATGCAACGTATGGTATCTAGTTCAATCTGATTATCTTGTTATTATTATTTAACGATCGGTAATGCCTAATTTGGGGTTTTTGAAGTTGCAGCCTCCGATCAAAAGCCATCATGTTGTACATTTGGCCACCACCCCAGTGTACACTCCCAATTTTATTTATAGAACGCATACCTATAGCTGCCTTATCAGCTGAACCATGGGAAATGCCGCAATTTGGTGTTTGTAAAGTGCCATGAAAGTTGGTATTATGTCTATGGCTGTTACCTTTGGCCATTCAATTTGACGTACCAATTTTATGAAGGGGTCGTGGGGGCTATGGCCCATAGCCTCCATCAACCAGATTGATCGGAAATGACATAACTTTGATGTTGAAAGTCGGCATTTTCTAGCGCTGTATTTTTGGACAATCCGAGTCGCCGGCTGACGTCACATTTTACCTTATAGCGGCGAAATGCACTTGCAACAGTTCGAATGACCTACTTTGGCCCGAGCATCAAGTTAGCAAGTCGGGCTTTAACCCAGTTTTCTAGGATGCATCATGAACCAGTTTGTGAGAATATAATTTACCGTGTGTTTTGCAGCGGGTATATCGACTTCTTCGCCCGTTTTTTGTTGCATTATTTTTTTTTTTTTTTTTGGCTTTAATTTATCAGCTATGACGCATTCGGTGACCCAAAATGGAGCAGAGAGTGGAGAGCAGAGAAGCCAACCCCAAACCTCGAAACCTCGAAACTCCCCTCCATTGAAAATCGGAGCTGAGGTCAGCCATAGACTTTGGCTTTGGTTTCGGCCTTGTTAGCCAGTTCAGTTGCAAAATTGGACAAGGCCCATGGCAGAGCTAAAAATAGCAGCAATTAGTCGAGATTAGGATTATTGGGGCACTAAATGGGCTTTCAGTGGGCTAAATTCCATTGCAATCGAGAATGTGCAGTTATTGTGTGGGAAATCTATTTTTGATAACAAAGCCTTCAGTTCTCTATTAATCTGCATTAGAATTATGCTGCCTAATTTTAATTCCATTTATTGCCGCATGATGTACTTTACTGTACTTATTAAATTTGAATTTCTGATTTTAATTCCATTTATTGCCGGATTTACTGAACCCATTAATTTTTTTTTTTTTTTTTTTTATACTGCTAAGTAAATCTATTTAACTTTACGAACATATTCTCTATTTATCTGCCTTAATGTTTTAATTATGAATATATTTCCTACCATTGATAATAGGGCCTTAAGAACTATTACTCTGACTCTTTTATTCTCTGAAAAATTCCCTGATTGCATATTGAATGCCAGGACTTGATGGGCTGTAAAATCAAAATCAGCAAGTCAAATAAATTTCGATTTGAACTATCCCATTCCCTGCCATAGATAACCAATCAATAGCTACTTAAATTCAGGCTCTGTCTTTAACGATATCCTTCAACTCCGAGACTGCGGACAAAAGCCCAGCCCATTCGCCCATTTAATATGCATGGCCATAAATGGGGACTCCTTGAGAGGCATTATTCCGCTTATCGTTTAGAGAAATCTCTCGAACATAAATATATACGGCTCCAATAATCAAAACCATTGATCGAGCCTAATTAATATGCGCTGCGCCAAAAAAAATAAAAGTAAAAACGAGAAGGGGATGGGTATAAATATAATAATTAAGCGGGACAAAGGACAGAGTGTTGTCTTTATCAAGGGCGTGCTGTAATCGGACTTTTGGGGGGCCTGAAAGTGGAACTATTCATGAGGTCTTCAGACTCGCCATAAACGCGACCCATTAAAAAACGCATTAAAAAGGCGCCATAAAAAATGGCGACACTAAAATAGCTTCGATAAAGCGTTGCTGCCTGCTGAAGTATAAAGTCTGTCTGAATCGGATACGAAAAATATGGAAAAAAAAAGTATTGTTGAAAATGATTTTAATTGTTATGCGGCATATGTCGGGGTTTCAGGGGAGGGGGAAGGGGTAAGGGGGATCGGGAACGACACGTGCCGCCCCGTTGTTTGATTGATGGAGCAGACATCCCCGATCTCCCTTTGGAGTTATGACAATTGGCACGTTCCAATTATACATTTTCGCTGATTTCAAAATGCAAATGATTTATGTGTAGCGCAGCGTGTTATTAATATGCATTTATAGGCGCACGGTGCAGAATATTATTACAATTTCACTTTGTGCCTCTGCTCTTGAGTTTTAATGGACTTTTAATTATTTTGGCTTAATCGAATTGCCATTCAGCAAGCATGTTTCGTAGACAAATTCGTTGGTTGGTAACCTAATTTTAAGGTAAGAGTAATGAAAGGAAATGATCAGATTAGTTGAGACCTTTGAATTCTTTTATTTGTAATAAACATAATCCATTAGGCAATACATATTTAACTATAATATTATAATATTAAAATTTTATGTTATCATACATATACCATTAAATCATAAATCTCTGATATCTCTGAGCATATCCAACACCAATCATTATTTTCTTATAACTTTCTTTGTTGGTAACCTAATTTTAAGGTAAACAGTAATAGTAGGAAATGATCAAATTAGTTGAGACTTTTAAATTCTTTTAATTCTAATAAACATAATCCATTAGGCAATACATTTTGAATTATAATATTATAAATAACTATTATATTAATATATGGTATATGTGGTATATGTATAATAATATAATAGTTCTTATAATATATATGATATATGTATAATAGTTTAATAGTTCTTTATAATATCATCCACTACCAATCAATATTTTCTTGTAACTTTTTTTATTGGCAACCTAATTATAAGGTAACAAAATTCAAAGGAAATGATCAAATTAGTTGAGACGTTTTATCTTTTATTTTTAATAAGCAAAATTCATTGAGCACTCGATTTTTAACTGCGATACTATTAAACAATAAATTCACCAGAGATCTCTGATATATCTATGCATATCCAATACAAATTAATATTTTTACATAACTTTCCTTTTTGGTAACCTCATTATAAGGATACAGTAATGATAGAAAATGCATTCATTTATTTGTAATAAGCATAATCCATTAGGCACTAATCTTTGAACTATATTACTAATAAATCTTAAATCCACTAGAAATCTTAGATATTTCTATGCACATCATCCAATGCCAATCAATAATTTCACTTCAATTTCTTTTCTTATCCTTTACAGATTTCGCGACAGAGCATCGATGCCTGCAAGGACTACTTCCGCGATGATCTAATAAAGGCCGATTGGTCGCTGATGGTGGAACTGAAGAAGCTCTTCGAGATCTTATAAGCGAATTCGCTTGCCAAACTTTGCAAACGTACAACCGACGAGAGATTTTCGCTATAACTTATCTAAACTACAGACTGTGCGCTTGTGGTGTGTCCTTTTCAGGAAGCAAAAGGATCGTTTCTCTTAAGCTTAGTTTCATTTTTATGGTTTACAGCCGTAGCCGTCGTCGTATCGCAGTTGTCGCTTGAAGAACTCTGTTATAATGGTTTTAAATCAAATTTTTGTAAAACGCTTATTGCGAATATCCATTTTTAGCCTGCGATTTTTGTTAGAGCCAACTTAGAATAAAGAGCAAAAATGTTGTAAAACGGAAAGAAGGAAAAGGGGAGTAAACTATGCGGACTCTGGGTGGTTAACTGTGTCACTGGTGACGTCACGGCAAAGGATATTGACCTAGTTGGCATGCGCACAGGTCCCTTTTTCATTCATAGCCCCGTGTGTTGTGTCATTGAACGCGACAAGGATGCCGATGAATGGGTAGCTGGGTGTCCTGCCGCTGTTGCTGCACCCAAAAAACTGGGTCATCCGCCGAGCAGGTTCATTCACCCGTTTGCCGCTGGAAGGACAATTGTGTCGCAGGACTCTGCTGCCAAAGTGTGTGTGTGTGTGTGTGTGTGGCAAGTTACGAGCCGCAGTTTTGTGAATGACGCAAATGCTGCCACTGCAAGTATCCTTCAAACGGGGGCCTGTAATTCTGCTGGGCTGAATGGGCTCAAGTGCCCCGAGTTCCAAGTTCCAAGTGTTGTGCGCCAGGATATGCCATACCCATACCCATACCCATGCCATCGCCAATCGTCCTCGAGGTAATGTTCCTTCAAGTGCCATTATACTGGGGTGCTTGAGCCAGATATTGCTGCTGCAGAGACTTTGTCAAGGAGAAACTGTCGATTGAAATTGGATAAGCGACTTAAGCAGGTCAATTCAGGACCAAGGTAAACTGGAGTATTGAGATGTCAAGCTAAATATTATTTTAAATGCTTTAAGATCCTTTAATTTGATCAATCTTACTTACAACTAATAATTAAAAAAAAAAAAAAAAACCTATAGCTTACAAATTTTCTATTAATTTCTAGTTCTAATAAGTACGGAAAAATTATTTCAAATTTTTTTTTTAATTGTAGGTTGGAAAAACGTTGTAGAAAAATGATCTTATTATTAAGAAAAATACAGCCTACGGGCTTATATTTTGTTTGTTCCATTCCTGACATCATCTTTTTTACCATTAAGCAATTCAATTAAATTTTTATAATGAAAAAAGCAAATTGCAAGCTCCAAATTTAAAATGTATTCTTTTCCTGGAAAAGATAATTATTTATGAAGACAATTTTTAAATCAATTTTAGCTGCTGAGTTGCCATTTAAATGCCTTTGCATCGTGTTCTCAAGAATTTATACCATTTAGTAATATTTTATATCCAAAACAGCTTTACCTAAATAGCTGTCTATGACTGTTTCTAGGAATTACCAAAATGACCGGACGCATTGCCCCAAAAAAAAAAACAAAACTGAATCGTAAATGTGCAATAAAGTTTAAGGCAGCCAATGTACGTAGAATTAAGGCAGTAATGAGTGGTTTGCAAAGTCCCATTTGCATTACGCGATTTCTGGCACGTAATTCCGCTCTAAATGGCAATAGGTGCAGTAAAATGATATTTTCTTGGCTAAAACTCAATGTTCAACGTTCATTGAGAAAAAGTATAAAGATTGCACATATAAACATCCTTCGCTGTTCTACGTGTCTGCTCGGTTCATTCATTGATTTTCTTGGCCAACTTTTGCCTTGGCCAAAACGCGCACACACATGCGCGAAGATGGATGGAGAATTCAAGAATGACATTCCCCGACCATCGTGGCTTACTGGGTTGGACCAACCAACAAGAAAAAAAAAGGAAAAAGGAAAATACACCCCCTCCGTAATAAATTCCGCCTCTAAATCCGCCGGAGAGTGCGAGAGCGAGCAAGGATTTTCATTCACAAGGCGAACTTATGCCGAAAACGGCATCCACAAAGGGGCTGTGGAACTAGGGCAACATTCTCTGCGGCTGTGGTAGGTAAGTATTGCCCTCCTCTTTCCCCTCACATCCCCCACATCCCCCTTCTAGCATCCTTTATCCTTCGTCCTTCGGTGTTGCTGCTGGGCACGCTGATGTTGCTGCGGGGTGGCCGATGTTGCTGCTGCTGCCGTTCGTGTTGCTGCTGTGTTTGGCGTGGGCGGCATTTGGTTCATTGAGAAAAACGAACCGCCTGGCGAAGGTTACTTGAGCGTCCTTGTTTGGGTGCTGATGCACGAAGTGAAGAGGTGAAATAAAAGTCAAATGACAAATTTACAAGCTTTTCATATTCCCATTATTTAACAGCCTATTAATTGTGCAATTACAAAGGTTTTAATATTTCTAAACAATTCAAAATCAGTTATGAAATCTAAAGTTGTTTCTAAAGTTTTTCAAATCTGATAACGAAATATGAATATATATTCCCATTATTTTACAGCCTATAAATTGTAGGACTTCAAAGGTTTTTATATTTCTAAATGCTTTAAAATCATTTATTAAATGTAAAGTTATTTCTAAAGTTGTTCAAATCTGATAGCGAAATATATATATTTATATATATTCCCATTATTTTACAGCCTATAAATTGTAGGACTTCAAATGTTTTTATATTTCTAAATGGTTCAAAATTATTTATTTAATCTAAAGTTATTTAAATTTGAGCGATTTGTAAGAATAAATAAATTTAAATAACTTTCTGCTACCCAAATACGAATTTAAAACATTCAGTTAGGTGGTCTGCTAATTCCCCACCATGAAATGTTCTTGTGACCCCCATTATTGCGCAAAAGTTTATAAATAATCGGAAATGGTTAAATGGCCTGACCGCTTTGGTTCTAGGAAAACACTTTTTTTTTCCGGAAACTCGAAATTAAAATCCGAGTAAATTGGCAGAAGCCATCAATATCAATCGTCGGTCGGAAGTGGGATTGGGAACGGATTTGCTTAGGCGAAAATAGCAGCGACGTCAATTGCAGACGGTTTCCAAATAAATATTTTGCACGTGCTTTCCGCTGCCACTTGTGCCGTGATTTTCGGTTTTATTTTGTTGGACTGCCTGTCTGAAAATCGAAATTGCCCTCCGAGTTCATGTTTATTATACATTTCACCTCGAGGCCGATGTGTTACCTCTGCCACTGTGGCGATAATCTAGGACACTTGTGACGTCAGGCGGGGAAAACTGATGGACTGGGGCAGAGCATTTATGGCGGATTGGGTGCACGAAAAGCCATCAGAGCCAACATTGATACGTTTCTCTCATTGAGCTGATTTGTTCAATGAAATCTCACAATGAAATTTCATTTATTTTTATTCTGTCCGTTCGCATTTATACTCATTTATTTGTATATGTTTGCCCAAATGTTTCGGCCAATGTGTGTTTTGTGTCTTCATTGAATGGCAGACCACTTTTTGTTGGCGAGTTTGTTTCGATCAGATGATTCACATTTCGTTGCCATTTCAATTTGCTGGCGAAACAATGGGAGATGTCCAGTTGCCCAACTCTCCAGAAAATCGAATGAAATTCCATTGGGAATATACTGGTTTTGGAGGATGAGCTGAATTATTACATCAAAATAAAATTCGAAGCATTGCACAAATCATTTTATAAAATCAAATTGAATTTACTTAATGGTAATCAACTTTAAATAAATACAAGTATTACGGTATTTTCCCATTATTTTGCCGTTTATTTACTTTACCCTTACTTAAAATATATTTAAAATTCTTAAATATATTTAAAATTCTTAAATATATTTAAAATTCTTAAATATATTTAAAATTCTTAAATACATTTAAAATTCTTAAATATATTCAAAATTCTTTAATATTTATTTTACTTATTGATTTTTCAGTAATTATTTAATTTATATTTTGAAATGATTCTGTTAAGTCTGTTAACCACTTAAACATTTGAAAACCACTTCACAGCTTTTAAATTAATATTATGGTATGTTCCCATAATTATTGCCATTTATTTCCAATTTTTTTTCATATTTAAATGCACAAACTCATTGAAATATATTTAAAATTCTTTAATATTAATTTTACTTTTATTTTAACCATTTAAAAACCACTTCACAGCTTTCTTGTTTGAGTTCAGTTTTTTTGCGTTTTTTTGCTCTTCAACCTGAGGCTCTATATATATACATATATATATATATTTATATCTAGATGCGTCCCTCCCAAATGTAGAGCTTGGTGAAGTGGCTGCTCTCCGCCAAATTTGGTGCGGCATTCGACCGGATGTCGTTGGAAATTATATGGAAATCTTTATTGTTTTCGCTGATTAATTTATGGGGCAGTAAACGAAATGAGTTTCTTGTTTTGTGTGCCGTTCGATCTGTTGATTTGGGGAGTGGCAATAATTGAAGGGCTTATTATTTTTTGAATTTATCCCGCCCGCAACGAGGCGGCAGGGCAACTCTGGCCGAACAGCTGACGGAGGACGGATGACCTTGGGGTGGTGATTGCAGCAACCCCCGTGCGGAAATTCACTGCCAGTGCCAATGCCAATGTCGAGGCTACGCCTACCGAAGGTCGTTGCCAAGGCGACTGAGTGGGCCGGAGAGGCCAGCCATTGGGCCAGGAAATGCAGGCGTGTGCGAGTGGGCGGCCATGGACGTGGCGGCGGTGCATTCAAAATGGCCGTCAAACGGATGACCTTGAAAGGCGAGCGCCCATTGGTGGGGCGGCCGCAAGCGGGGTGGTTGGTGGTGGGTGGGCCATGCAAATGGGAGCTGGTGGCCAGGAGCTCTGGGAACAGGAGCAGCCAGCAGCCAGGAGCCAGGATTAGTCCTGCAGCAAGGCAGCGGGTTGAAATCGGCAAAACACACGAGTGGCGCACGATGCACACGAGGCCCACGCATTTCGGTTTTCGGGGGCTTCGGCTGACGAATGGGGATTCCCCTCCAGAAACGACATCCTGTCGGCCATCTTCGGCTGAGGCTGCAGCTCCGATGCAAAAGTCGTGCAACTTGGGCTCAGTCACTGGACGAGAGTCAGCCTGCATTCAACGTGCAATCTCCGAGAAGTTCCACTTGCACAACTGTCCACCAAAACATATACATCTGATATATATAGTTGTGTACAACATTCCCAGACAAAGACACAACGCAATTAGCGTTTAATGCAGGCCGCACACCAGGCGTATGCGTGATTTTTGGTGCATCTAAGTGAAAGTGTTTTTTTTTTTGGTTCTGCAATAATAAACTATCCTACGAACTGTTGCCATAGCTAATCGAAATAAATAAAAGTTAAGCCCAC